GTCTGGCCGTCTGAGTGGGAACCGGCTGCCCTGTTGGAGGCTGGGAGAGCAGAGAAGGCTCCACAGGCTGCTCGTGGCTTCCTAACCAGGGCGTTCGAAGCCTTGGATTCCTCAAAGAGAAAATCCTTTGAAGGACTTTTTCCYGCCTTTGCTATCTGTGCCTATTAAGAGCAGTTTCACCAGCTGCGTGGGAGCCTCTTTAGCATGGAGTACAACAGAAAGGGCAGGGAGGCTCGTGYGGAAGGCGTCAGCAGCGGCACGTGGCCCTTGGAAAGGGAAAGGTCCGAGAGCAGCGACAGCCGGGCCAGACGAGCGGGCCAAACAGCAAGAAGAGCAGCACGAGGGCTGAGCAGGGGCCCTTGGAACTGGGGGGCTCTGTGGGGCGAGACCTCGGCAAGAACAAGGGTTTGTAGGAGCGAAGGCCGCAGTGATGGCGGGAGAGAGGAGCAGGTTGCAACAAGGCTCCTTCTATAAACCCTCCTGTTCCGCGGCCTGTGGACAAGGGGCCCTTGGAGAAGGGAGGTGCAGGGAGCCCTGGGAGGGGGTCTGCGGGGCACGGGCCATGGGGGTGCTCAACTTACATAGACCACAAATGAAACACGGTTTTTATGTCTACCGTAGTTATTCTTACGCCCTCCCCTGACTTTATTGCCCTTGGTAGAAGTGAAAAACTTGCATTTGGGTAGACGGGTGTGGGCAGCCTATGGCTGGAAATAGCGTCGGCTGTGCCTCTGCTAGGGCCTTTGAGGAGAGGTCTTGCTGTGTGTCTTATTCCATAGCGTTGACTTGTTTTCATAGGAACAGACGTGCACAGCAGGATAAAGCCATTTTTTGGTGTTTTATGCTACATAGCTCAAGAGTTATGTTGTAGTATAATTAAAATGCTAGGCCATAACTATTAGCAGATGGATACGCGGTGTTTTATGCTTGTGTGCTCTCTCCTTGTTAATAAACTTGACACGCAGACGAAATGGCAAGGAGAAGACTGTAGCTTGAGCAGGAGGGATGTATCCCTCTCCTTTGAAARTATTTACATTCCAGGGCTCCGTCCGCATTGGGCACACTCGTGCTTGCTTGTGCATAGCCATAACACTTGGAAAGGGAGACTGTTGTTATTCCCGGGCTGCCAAGAATCCCTGCGCCCCGAGCGCTCCAGTTCTTTATCTTCTGCCTTTATGTAACTAAGGTTGGTCAAGGGCTGCAAACAGCTCTCCGTGGCAGGGCTCCCGATACTTTTCCTTGCCGTTGCCGTCCACACACGCGATAAGACGTGCTTATTGGAGCTGCAACAAAGAATAAAATTCGAAGGCAGCGAGATTTTCCTATTTTTCCTCCTCCTGTGGCTGATCCTGTGCTCGTCACTCCCTTTTGCAAAGCATCATGTTTGCCGTTTTCCTCGGGGTTCGAGTAGAGAGTTGACGAGTCTTTCGGGTGTTCATGTGTAAGACTTGGGTGTCTTCCTTTGGCTCTTGCTTGCCTGCATGATGAGTAGGCTTCAAGAATATCTTTGGACACAAAAAAGTGGGACTTGCTTTCAACGTAAGCCTTTCTAAGCCTTCTTTACCAGTGTCGTGTTTAGCTCCGTGTAGCAGTACGTGCTTCTCCACCCCTCTTGGTGCTAAGTGCGTGTTCCCCATCCCGCCGTGGTGCCTGTGGAGCGCCGGTCCGTGCCGAGCGTTTATACACGGGGTAGGCAGCGAGGCCCAAGACGTGGCCTCGGTAGCTCCAAATGTGGAGTGAAGGTGGGGAAAAACCTTAGAGTTTTTCCCCCACGGTTTCTGTTCTCTGAAAGTTCCTGTGGCCCCTACACACGGTATTTCTGAGCGTCTCCTGAAAGTAAAAATACTTAATATCCCAATGCCCGTGTCAGACAGCAGCCTGAACTCCAGTTGTTGGAGATGTGGGCGTGCTTTGAGTGGGAGGAACTTTAAGAACCGGGCTTAATTAATTAAAGGTTGCCACAGTTGCAGTGTTTTGAGCTTAGAGAATTACAAGATACTTTGCCACATACTTTGAGTATATAAGTAAGTTTAAATATTTTCTTTAATATGTATGCTGTTCAAAATAATTACTTAAAGCTGAATGGAATTTTTGCCTCTTGGAATAAACTCTACCCTAGTCTTAAACATATGTTCTCACTTACTGTTGATAGGTTTTTTTTAATACCATAAGAAAAGTCTACAGCAAGTATTGCAAGAATCTGTAACTTAATCTTAAGGCTCTTTGAAGTTAAATCATGTGAAATATATATCATAATAAAAATTTGAAAAGCACTCGTATGGTTTTAGAACTCTTTTGTGAAAATAAAGTCTAAGGCCCCATCCTCCCGGAGGCTTTGTGGCTGTGGGTTAGCAGTCGTGTGTCTCCTTAGCAGTGAAAGTTTACGAAAGAAAACCGTTTGTATCAAGGGTTTTAGCAAATAAAATGTGTCTTCAGCGACATGGATCATTGTGCTGTAATGGTTATACATCAGGATTGCRGAGGAAAATAGTGGTGTTTTAAGTGTCTGTAGTATAAACATTTTCTTTTGTGTGTGTATAACCTGTTGGCAGAGCCGGCTTAGACTCCAACTCGCTGCTTTGGCATGATCCTTAACTTAAATTCAACTTAAAATGGTAGAGGTGGCTTTACTGGGAAACCAGTTACCAGCTTGGTAAGCAGGGCTGCTGAGTTGTGCCTGGGCACATCCATTGGCTTGGCCAGCACAAACTCCAGGCGGATTCTTTTCCATGGCCTTTTCCATGGGAGGGTCGTGGGGCTGTTTGTAGCTGCTGTGGAGCTCTGCAAACCGGCCAGCTTCATAGCAAAATTATGGGGACTTTGACGTGATTAAAAAATAAAAAAGGTACATGGGTTTTCATCACTAAAATGTAAAGGTAGATGGATTTGGAGGAGGGGGTGAAGTGTTTTTTGCGCTCTCRTTTTAAAAATCTGTTACTTTACAGAAGCTCTTTCACAGCTTTTCTTTGTTGGCTTTGCCAACAATATTTACAATAGAGAAGTTTTCAGAAAATACGACCTTCTAATCTRTATTTTGCTGCTGTTGAGGCAGGCAAACCTAGCACGTTTTTTCATGTGCACCAAATGTTTTAGTTTTTGTTTTTCCTGCACTGGCATCTTCTCGACCCCCAAGAGGGGTCGAGAGAAGAGGGGTTGCTTGTGCTGTTCAGAGTTCCTCTTTTTAACTCATACTGTTAAATACTTTAACTTTGGGACCAGGAGAGCACGCTGGGCCGCTCGCAGCTCTGCAGCGGGCAGCAGAGCTCTGCTCTCTGCCCTCACAGCCCCTGTTGCCCTCGGTTCCAGGGCAGGCTTAGGCAACGGCTGCACGAGTGCCAGAGCTCCCAAGCTAAAATGTAGGGAACTGCTCATAGTAGGGTTGGATGACACTCTGAAATGACTTTATAGCCTTGCYCATCAAGGGTTAATGCCAGCTCATTTATCAGCCAGTTTAAAGGAGTGCTCTGTGCTGTCTGGTTTGCATTTGCTGGAAACKCATATTCATTTTTCTGTTGCAAACTTCCTCCATTCTATTACAGCTCTAATCGGAATGACGAGGGCAGAGTAGAGAGCAAATATCGTGAGTAAAAAGTTTGAACAAGATAAATATTTTTGGTAGCTGGTAATAAGAAATAGTCATTTCTTAAAAATGAGTTGCTTGTGGATGGTCTTTGGCAGCTTCCTGTTCAGTGTGATAAAGCACAGGTAAAAGCAAACACCTGAGCAAGGCAGCTGAGGGAAACTGATGCAACACCTTTGTTGCTTAAATTCTTCTCTTACCTCTACCTTCTTTTGGTGAATTTGGACTTTTGAAGGCTGACTGCCAAGCTGGGGGACCCCAGGAGCTGGAGTCAAATAATGTGACGTTAGGGAGGTGGCTGCGTGTGGTGCCAGGGCTTGCTGGCAAGCGTGCAGCACATATGTCCTGCTTTCAGTAGTGTGTGTCTTTGTGTATTATATAATAAATAGCATGTATGCCTCTGTGTGTGTGTGTGTGTATATATATATATATGTATAAATATAAAATCATAGCAACTGCATATAAGTATTTTCCTAGGTCATAATTTCCAGAACCCAAACCCAGCAACCCTGCCTTGCGCTTTGCACCTTGCTCATGCTTAACCATTTGTGGCCCAGGCCTATTTCAGCAGCGAAGCCTGCAGCAAGGCAGTTATCTTGCTTTCGTGATCAGCAGTGCCCTTGGCGTTCTGCAGGCGGGTGAGCTCAGCCCCGGGCAGGCGCCCCGCGGAGCCGGCGCTGCAGCAGCAGCAGCAGCAGCAGCAGCAGCAGCAGCTCATCCCGACGCGGGGCAGAGGCCGGCGGGAAGGCTCCCTTAGCACCAGGGAGCTCCCAGATCACTCCATGTGCAGCACGAAGCTTGGTTTTCCTGTGTACCAGACTGGCCTGACTGCAACCCGAAGGGGGGCAGYGGCTGCGTGTTTGCTAAATTAGGGTGCAGGCTGTTAGGAGGCTGAGTGATGAAAAGTTTGCAGAAATCCCTTGGCTGCAACCTTTTTGGAAAAGGCTAGTTGGGATGAACTTCATTTTCTTTCAGAAAGAAGTGTTTTTACGTTTGTTTTGTATTCTTTAAGGAAAGTACTTTTTTCTCCTTTAAAAACTGTTTACATTAATGAAATTTTATCTTCAGACAGAAAGGTTTCTGTGTTATGACTGAAACTTTTTATATTTAATACACACATTGGAAGCTTTCTTTTATTGAACTGGGATAGAAAGGCAAATATGTTAAATGAAGAAACGTTTTTTTTCCCCAGGATGAAAATGTTTGTGTCTCTTGACTCTATTATGAGCCCTGTAGCAACTTCATAGTTTGGCTTGACATGGGTTTTGAGCCAAATGATTTTATGCTATAAGAGAATGCTATACTCTTATTTGTGTATATTTCATGACTGATTTTGTGTTTTCTTTCCTCCTAGCTCTCAAAAAAACCATTGATGCATGAGTCTTGGCTATGAGCTCCYCAATGTTCCAGCAAGTGACTCTTACATATTTGGCTAAGAGCTGACAACATTATAAAGGTATGTCAAACAATTTGAAAGTCAGCTTTCAAAGGTTGATATGATTATAGAAATGTGTGATACATATAAAGACATCCTACTGTACAACACATAGCAGTAAGCTGTGTGCATTAGTATGGGCCTGTCTTCAGAGAGCCTTTTTTTCGTGTGCGTCCATGTCTGTGCCTCTGTTTATCGTGTTTGAACTGTTAAGAAACCTGTGATGATGCTCTGAGTTATYGAAGGCATCAGGTAGTGACCTTGAGTAGTTTGCCTAGCAGTAAGAAAAATGAGGAGTTCTGCTACTGGGCAAAGAAGTGTAACGGGTGGTGATGAGAAAGTGTTCAGTGCACTTCTTGTTTTAGGCTTATCTTTATTGCAGGATAAGCTGCAGTTCCAGCCAAGTCCAGAAACGGAGGTGTAAGAATTCTCCTTAGGAGAARATAGGAAAGAATGCCTACAGAAGTGTTGAAAAGCAGGTGAAATTCAATTACAGTTTTTTTGTGTCACCTGGTTCTTAGTCTGGGGATCACTATTAGTTTGTGTAGTCAGGTGAAGTTTTTAAAAATAAATRTGGTGATGCTGGGCAAATCTGAGACGTTACCTGCATGTAAAGGGGACAGATAACCCTACCGAGAACTGGAGACTGCGTGTAACAAATAAGACCTATTTTGTAAGCTTTTAGAGGAAAAAATACCAAACTGATAAATAAAGACCAACATGGATTTTTTCAAAAGCAAATTGACAAACAGTGTAATCTCCATTCATGATATGGTATCAAGTCTTGTGGTTTAGAGAGAAACAGATATGTATTTGTTTTAATGAGGCTAATCTAATGACACTATCCTTGTAAAATGCAAGGAAAATGTTTCTCTAAATACCGTAAACTTGGTGGAAAACTGAAGGCAGTTTCATGGATTGCTGTCAAACCAGAAGGTTGTCTAGACTCTGCAGGGTTCTGTCACTAATTTCAACTTAAATGAAAAGTTAAGGCCACGCGATATTAGYAGCAGATGGTACCAAGCTGGAAATTGCTGCAAGCATGTTGGAAAACATGGTTAGGGTTAAGGATGATTTAAACACAGTGGAGAGGCAGGCAAGGCAAAGTATGTGTTTGAGATGAGGACAGGACCCAGGGCCCTCCATTTAATGCTAATCCATCACACAACTAAACAGTGGGGGAGCAGGAACGTTGTGCAAAGGATCTGGCAGTTGTAGGTAAGAGAATTGCCTCTGATTTATTGCCCTTATTACAGGTCAGGTATACAGAGGCGTGAGCAGGATAACTTTCCAAAAATCATATACACCTCAAGAAAAAGTAAAATACTTGCAGAATGTRCAGAGGAAAGTAAGGGGAACAAAGTCCTTACAACATATATATTGTATATAATAATGATATTATTTATATATTTTTTACAAAAAGATTTTGGATAATTTCTCTTAACATAAGACTAAGAAAAAGCAAGAATTGTCCTCAGGCAAGATGTAARAAAAGAAAGTGTTGTTCCACTTTTGAATGCTTTTTTTAAAGAACACATTAGCTACATCTGGGCTGTGGCTTTTAAATCTAGTTCTGAGAAGGTGGATTAGCTGAATTATTGAGCTTCCTTTCCAACCATTATTTTCTAGGATTTGCAAATCCTAAAGAGTTTCACAGTACAAAGAAAGCCAGTGTATGCAACGTAAAAAGATATAATTTTGGTGAAGAGCATCAGGTCCACGTTAATCATGATCTTTTGTGACTTTTGCTATCAAAGCAGCACATCCATACATGTTCACTTTCCACTCATTTCTGAGAAAAATTATACTACATACTGGCAAGGGGAGCGGGGGGGGGGGATACTTGTATAAACCTTTTGGCCTAAACCTTGTGATGTGCTTCCACTTTATAAACATGTTATAGTTGATAAGCTAAGTGCATATTGGCAGCTAAAAGCTTCCAGAATCTCATTTCTTCCCCAGCATCATATAAAATTGCATTGAGTGCAAGAGAAATTCCTCTCATCAAACCAATACAAGCTTGCTATCAAAAACTGAGATTGCAGGCTGCCCTGCTAATTAGGCTGAGTTAAAATTAAGATATGGAATAAAACATCCACTCATTAGCAGATAGCAGCTTTTATCTTGCATGCCCTGTTTGCTAAAACTAGCAATTAAGTGCCGAAATAAGAGGGAAAATAGTCTGGTGGCAGGAACTGAGGCCTGGGAGGCAGAACTGTCAGCATTTTTCTTTGATATGGTATTGAATTATGATTTGCTGAAGGGCATGTTTAATTTCTTTCCTCCTTTTCCACAGGCAGCCCAAAATGCTGTTAGGATCAGTTTTTGTCAATAGCTAAAGAGACAGAAACTTTTTTTTTCTACATTAAAAGCTAATACTTAATACCAGAGATCACCACTGTTGGGTTCTTAGGTTGAGTTTGACTTCTGTTACAGTATCTTCAGGTTAAAGCACGTCTGTATAAAACGTTAGTAGCTTAAATGTACCCACTAGAGTGGAGCTGGTACTTCTGTTCCCCTCATCTATTTGCTGTATGAGCAAATGCAGCCTCTTCTCCTTCCCACWCACTGCTGCTGAAGACACCTCCCTTCCCACAGGCTTCGGATGCAGAAGTGCAGTTGTTTGGGTCCCTTCAAGACYTGCAAAGCTGCACTGTAGATGTAGAATGTCATGAGAAGAATCCCARTTCTGTTGTCCAGCCCAGCTTTTGCCCAGAGTTTGTGTCCATCAAAACTCGGGTGATTTCCAGACTTGTTACAGCAATACAGCCCTTCCTACGGTTAGGAGGCTTGGGGACCACATTATGGAACTTAATTCTGTTTTAACAAACTCGTAGTTTGGAACAGTGAGATATGATGTGGGGTGTTGAGGACAAGGATCCACCTTTTCCAGTGTGGGGCAATCAGGCCGGAATCCCTGTGGGSTTCTTTTTGCAGGTGTGTGTTTCAAGTCAGGCCTCCACTGAAGTTTACATTTAAATTTATTATTACAGTGTCACCCTGTAGGGTTTATAGTTTCCCTCAGTGAATTCTATTTGAAAGAACTGACATCACTTTTTTTTTAAAAAAAAGGTTATGTTTAGGTCTGGTTTCCACAGCACAAGTTGCCATGGATATGTCAGGTTCTTAGTGTTTGTTTACAGAGAAATGAGGTAGAGAAGGTTCATGATAACTATTTTCAAATTAATGTTCTGCATCCAAATGATGCTTTTCTTGCTGGGAATTCAACTGGCTAGTGAACATAAATTCTACCTTCTACTTTGAAAATGGATTAAGTGCACTTTGGAATGTGTTAATACAGAGCCATCTCTCTATACATCTTTATTTTGCATTAGTTTTAGTCTCCAGATGCATTTCTGGGTTGCTTTTCTTTCCCTACAGGAAAATAAGCCTGCTTGTTTCGTGTACCCTGCAGACTTTTGGCATCGTGTTAATCTGTTTTTACCTCTGTTTATCAACATTTGCACATGAAGGCAATAAGCAGGTATTATTGCAGGCCCCTGAGACGTGAGGATTGCAACAGTGCTTCTGCAAACCCTGCTGTTCYATGCATCTCCATGAGGCAAGGAAAAATCCTAGATTTCCTGTCATTTGGGAGGGGCTACTTGCATAACACAACACTGGCACTATGTTTCTGATCCATTCTTTGCCATTTAAAACAATCTGCTTCACTCCTTCCTCACAGCTCTCTTACTAATCCCTCCCCAAGTAAGGATCCCATGTGAGTTGAACTGGCTTTCACACCCTTCCATCCTGCCCACAGAGTGCACCAGACCCTGCTGTTYAGTGACCACTGGGAGAAGTGTGGGAATACAGCGGAAATGTTACCTGGCCCCTCTCCTAGGTCACGGGTACCAGGCAAGGAAAGGCAATGATTCAAAGCTAAGAAAATTGTCTTAGAGTGAAGATACAAGCAGGTAGACTAAATACTGCTAATGTCTCACTCCTCAACCTGTGCAGTCCTTAAGGACAAGGCTTCTGACTGCTCCTGGGCATGTGGTTAGGTTCCTCGTCAGAGAAGGTGCCCGAAGCCAAGAGGCAGCAACGTGGGCAAAGAGGGATGAGATGGACTTCTSTGGAAAGTGAACGGTGTCTAAGGAAGAACATCTAAGTCTTGGCCCCGTAAGAGATCACCACTTCATGGGTCAGAAGAAACTCACTGAAGTACTACAGAAGGACTAGCAGCAGCAGGTCTTTTCTAAACCTGGGCYTTTGTGTGCGTCAAGATAAGCATAATTCTATAACTTCTCAGTCATGAATTTGGCCTATACTACTTCGTATGCAAAGGCAGGTTTCCTGGGGCTAAAGCTTGGGTACAATGTTCTGTTACCAGCACAGAATGACACTGTGCACAAATCATTTCCCCTGCTAGCTCCTGTGAACCTCTGTCAGGTGTAGAAGCTTATTAAAGGGTATTTTGGGCAAAAGTGTAATAATTTTATACCTTGTGTGTTCTTTAGAACTTAAAATGTTGTTACAAAGAACCACGTGATATGGTTTTTAATATATTTAACYGAATACACCTGAAGTGGGGTAACTGTACTGCAGCACAATCGTGCTGAGTTTGACTGAGGTAAGATGTTTTATGGACTTGGCATCCCTAGTAATAGCTGGAGAGGTGTCCAAAGTGAGAGCTTGCAGCAGGTCTGTCTTTGCTCCTCAGCCTGTTTCATTGAAGAGCTCTGTCTCTGCTTGTGCAAAGATGGTTGTGCAAAAAATCAAGTGATTCATGCAAGGTATCACTTAGCRTTCACCAGCATTAAGCATCTTGCCTTTCCATGCAAAACCTGAATGCATGTTCTCTTCTTTCTGCACCTGTTCAGAGTTTAAAAGGGTCCTTCCTATTATCCACATGCTAGAGTATGTGCATGTAGGAGGGGAAAAAAGGCTTCATCTCCTGGAACAGTGAGGCAAACTGTACGGTGTGTAGGATTTCTGAACAAAAGTTGAACCATTTCAGGAAGAGAGGAAGCAYGAACTCCGAAGCTGCTGCCCTTGCCTGTCCTTCTGCACCCCAGCAT